GGCCGGGAGCGGCCACTGCACTCCAGTCTGGGTGACAGAGTGAGACTCCAACTCAAAAAAAAAAAAAAAAAGAATGAACAGATATGCTGTGCACCCCAGTCATCTTAGCAGTTACCAGGAGAGACAGATGCCAATCCAATCCCAAACCATACAATTAACAGTGTACTTTAGTGGAGGAAGACTTTGAGTCTCTTGGTGCCATAAAATCTTGCCAACTATTACCTGAGCTATGATTCCATCATCCCAGGAAGGAAAAGAAGGAGAAAATCCTGGGTGTGAGTGACTTTATCTAGAAGTGACTAAATTTTCTGCTGTCAGGCAGAAATAGGAGGAAGGAAAAGAGGGTTAGTTGATAAGAAAATAAATCCAATTTTTAAAGAAGAAAAGCATATATTTGCTCTACTGAATTATGGCTTCTGAAAATCATATGCACTATATCAATTATGCTGAGGGGCATTTACACTGTTTCTGGGTTGTTGTGGCCACAGTAAGCCTGCCAAAAATATCACTGTACTGAGATTCTTATATTTCAGAACTCTTATTTATATATTAGAAGATTTTCATGAGTGGAACCACTGCGCTGAAAAGGACGTATACAGATGCTCTCTGTAAATCCTGATAAACCCATTGTAAATGGAAAATATCCTAAGTTGAAAATGCATTTAATACACCTAACCTAGCAAATATCATAGCTTAGCCTAGCCTACCATAAACATGCTAAAACACATTAGCCTACAGCTGGGGAAAATCATCTAAACCAAAGTCTATTTTATTTTTTAAAAAGTGCCAAATATCTCATGTACTTTATTGAGTATTGTACATTAATGTCAAAACTGTGGCAATTTCGCACCAAAGTAAAGTTGAAAAATCCTAAGTAGAGCCATTGTGGACCATTTCTATGTTCAATGTGAGATGTTGCCCTTTGGCTTTCTAACAGGTAGGAATAATTCATACATCTCCCAACAATGTGTACAAGTGCCTTTCTCCTACCATCTCCATGGAAGATGGAGAAATGGGTGGTTTCAACATTGAAGCTATCTCCGATGGGAAGCAATTATAAACCATAAAACTCATCCTTTTTAAGTGTACAATTCAGTGGTGTTATAATAGTCACAGAGCTGAGCAACAATCACCACTAAGTTTAAAACACTGTCATCACTCCAAAGAAGCAGACCCATACGATTAGCAGTCAGTCCCATTCCCTACCTCACCCCCAATCTACACAACCACTAACCTACTTCCTAGATTTGGCTACTGTAAACATTTCACATAAATGAAGCCATGCATTGGTGGGGTTTTGGTGATTGGCTTCTTTCACTTAACATCATGTTTTTACAGTACATCCACGTTTGAGCATGTATCTTCACTTCATTTCCTTTTACTGTTAAATGATATTCTGCTGTATGGATAATATATTTGATTTATGTTTTTATCAGGTGATGGACATTTGGGTTGTTCCCAATTTTTAGCTATTACAAATAATACTGCAATGAGCATTCATGTACAAATTTTTGTGACGATGCATGGATATATACCTAGGTTGGAATACTGGATCATATGATAACTCTGTGTTTAACCTTTTGAGGAACTGCCAAACTGTTGTTCAAAGTACGATTTTAATTTTTTCAGCTTGATGAGCGCTAAACAATTTCACTGAATTTTTAATGCTTACTTCCTTACTGAGTCTGAGGCGCTTTTCTTTCATTCACAGGTTTTTTCTAAGCTGTTTCGAATCTACTTCGTATTTTTTTCTACTGAGTTGTTTTGTCTTTTATATACTTCCAAGAGTTCTTTGTATATTATAGATATCTACCAATTTGCTGTTGCTTTCTTTATGAACATACTTGTCTTGATTGCAGCATTTGTCTTTAGATTTCATGGCACTTTGTGCCATACCAAGTGTTCCGTATTTATGGAGCCGAGTGTACCCTCAGGAGGTCCCTACATGCCCCCCACCCCAGGTCCTGCGTGTGGTCACCTAAATGCTCTTCTCTCACCGGGAAGCACGACCCCTCAAGTCTGAACTCCACTCTGCACCGTGTGCCACTGACCTGCGGGCCTGCTCGTTCGACCACACCATGTGTACCCGACTACGGTTGACACAGAAGCCCAGCTAACATTCCAACATCCCATAGGCCTCTCTGACATACTTTCATTGGTTAGTCTTAGACATTTGCTTTTCCGCATAAATCATGTGGAAATTTTTGCCCAACAGTGAAAAACAAACAAAACTAATTTCCATTTGAATTGGAATTGCTAATTTGGGAGAATTTATACTTTCATCATTATTGTTTCTCTCGCTTTTCTATCACATATTTGATGTCTTTCTGTTTCTGAAATACGGTACGTTTTCATGGTTCTTACTAGACAGGTCCTGCAGTTTACTTGTTAAATCTAACTGTAGTTATTTTATAGTTCTTTTCATTGTTGTGACAGAAAATTTTCTCATTTCTATTTCTGTGTGTTTATTGCAAATACAGAGAAGCCATCAATTTTATTTAGCGCCTATCTAAATGTGGCTATCTCACCACATTCTCTTATTAATTTTATTGTTTACAACCTGAGTCTCCTGGGTTTCCTAGATGTACGATCATATTTGCTAGGAGTGCTAGAAAAACGGTAAATAATTTGGCAGTATAAAATGGCAACAGGGAGATTTCTAACTAGCTACTGATTGTAAAAAGCAGTTTAAATGTCACACACAAGAAATGAATTACCCAAATGACTGAGACTCGTTCCTCTGCTCTATTTCTCAAGTTGCTCCTGTATTTCAGCCTGTGTCCTTGCTCCTCTTCCACAAGCTCCACCTCTCCCTCAGCTTCTAAACTGTACTTCCAGGGAGAGTGCCAGGCTTCTCATGCCCAGGTGGGAGGGAAGAGAGGTGGTCCTGATTTTCAAGGGACCATTAAAAATGCATACCCATCCAATCACATACATGTATACATGGTACAGGGCAAGATGCTGAAAGAAATATCCAGAAAGCTAATGAAATTGGATATATGAAACATTTAAATAATTAATTTTATTTTAAATAGAAATGGCAAGCACTTCAAAACAAACATCGGTAAAGTATGATGCAAGATTCTTTCTCATAATAGTTACAGATGGAGGTCAGTTATATACAATCATGCTATAATTTAGATATAGATCAAAAGTTTTTGTGGACTTGGCTGAACCTAATTATCACATGTATTACTACTAGGGAAAACGTTGCTGTCAAATAACCCACTTATCAGTGAACTTCTGGCAGCATAGTTTATGTTTCTTAAAAACCACTTAGACAAGTCAATAGTAACAGTCCCTAGGTTGTAGAACTATCAGAAAAAAGAAATAACTAAAGAAACAGATGAAGAGCCTGGCATTAACAATGACCTTTCCTGACTACTCTTTGAGAAAAGAATGATTTTTATTTGATTAAAAAAAATAATAACTCCTATCATGCAACATTTCTTAAAGAGAAATTTAGTAAAATCAAGTACTAGTGAATTCTAATTATAACTCAGTGTTAAGATTAATAGAGTCTCTTACACTACCAAAACACACACAAACACACACACACACACACACACACACACACACACACACACACACACCCCAATCTAAAGTTTTCTTAGGGTCAAAAATGTTCATCTTTGAATTCACACAGTGTCTAATAGCAAAACACAACTGTTACATAAACCAGGTAGTTCATTGTTTCATTCATGCCATAAAAATATTACTGACATTTCATCTGGTCAGTCATCTTAAAGGTTAATTCTTGTTTCCTCTTTCAGATTTTATTCTAGGTGAACCATTCTGGGCAGATTCTATTTACCTATTCTGGGCAAACCACAAACTGTTTCATTGCTCGCTCTTACTGTTAAGAACATATTGACTTGCTGCCTGCTCTGCTGTTTAATTCATTTATGCTGAGAGTCAGGCATGAAGACAGAATTTTAAATGTGACATTTGCAGACTGTTAGGTCATTTAAGCTCTGACAACACTAGGGAATTTCTGACATATAAACTGGACCTGATTACCAAGCACAGATGAGCTTCCCAAAGGGGCACCTTTCTGACCATTTTTTGTAATTTCTCACAGAAATGTAATACTAAATTTTAATGAATGTCAATAAAAAATATATATATATGGCAAATATTTAAAAATTAAACCCTGCTTCTTTTAGAAGAAAGCTTGAACTGGCACTTCTAATCAACACATATCAACTTAAATAAAAACTATATTGATTGAAAAAGGCCTAATGGAAAAACTCACATAACAATTAACAATCATAACAATTCCAAGAAAGTCTGTCATTTAAAGGTTTTTAATATTTCCTATAATCTGTAAGGTTTTAAAAAAATCAGCCAGGTCTAAAGGCTATTAACTCTAGTCAGTAGACCATTTCAAATGATTCAATTCTGGCCCAGCAGGGCAGAGGTTATATGCTGTCAAAACTATAGTACAAAGTCTAAGCTTAAATACTTGCAAACTGCCTTCTCTCAAATTACGGTTATGTAGAAGGGATGATAAAGTCATTAAAACTGGAAATGAACAAACTGCCCACATGACATGCAGAATCACACCTCACGGGGCTGATGATGGCGGGGTGGAGGATGGAGGGCAAGACTGTGTTCTCTTTTTAGCTACTGCAAAAAATTACATGGAGCGATATTTTTTCAACTCTTTCCTTGTCACTATCAAGTACTCCATACAACGATACAAAATGAAAATTTTCTGAAATTAAGTTTTGTTGTTAAATAATGCACAAAAGATCATTCTGATTTTATTCCCTATTTTCCTAAGTAGGAATTCTGGCCTTTCTTACACAGCAAGCAGCCTTTTAATATTGTTCTCTGAATGAGACTTTCAGCTGGAACAGGTAAAGTCTAAACAGGGAAAGACGGACTGGAATGCCTTTCAGCTATAGCACACTGATTCTGAAAAACCTAACAAAAGCAATTACTTTTCAGAGATTAAAAATCTTGTTTCCTTCAAAAGAATAAAATGGAAAGCAAACCTGGTGTATTATCTGAGCTACAGGAAGTTGCTCGGCATATTTCAGAGGTTCCATTAGCTCCTCATCCCTCTGGCCTTCCTCATGGCTGGAAGAAAAGAATGAAAAAAACACAATGCTAAAAAACACAATGCTAAGGATCATTCTGTTTTTAAATATGGCAAATATTTAAATGTCAGGTACGAATTATATTAAGACACATATATTTAGTGTGAGTTTTCAAACCAATCAGTATTTATCAATAATCTTTTAAGAACTACCTAATGGAATGTTAAATGCCGTGACTATAAATGCACTCATACCGCACTGCATTGTTCTGTAGTAAGATGAGCTAACGTCATCTAGTGTTCTCAGACCCTTCTTTCTGAGACTTGCGGATGTTCACAGGTGCCCTTTATTGCAGCACTTGAAGGTCTTCCACACCTGGCTTCCTCCAGCAGCCCCTTCTCCACAGAGTCTGCTGTTTCAGTCATGTCCAGCTATGGCCACGCCCAGTGGGCCTCGCCCCCCAAGACTCTCCTAGCTTCCTCATGCCACTGTATCTGTTGAAAGCAACTACCAACTCTCTTCTGTTTTTCTTTTTAGCATATTGATTTGTTTGTATCCATCTAAATATATTAATTTTAACCTCCTTGAAGGTAAAATCCATGTCTTACTCTTCTTTGTATATCTAATACTGATCATATAATCTAGACTCAAATGTTTGTTGAATGAATATAAGAATAAAATGAAACAAAAATAACTATCTGAGATTATCTCATATAGAAAATATTTTTAATGTCTACATTTACAGTGAGATGCAAAGTTGACATAATGCATACCTAATATAAAAGAGTACATTTTAAAATCTTCCCAAATGAAGAGAACTTGATAAGATACTGCTAAAAGTATCGCTCCTTTTAGACATGGCAAATATTAGATTTCAAGACAGTAATACCTAGTGACACTGGAGTTTCCTTTTACCTTTTTTCTGTGAATTACATATCAACTTATCACCTTAAAATTTACATTTTAAAAACTAAACTTCAAATTATTTTGAAGTATAAAGGAAACAAAGTTGGCCTAAGTCTCTAGAGCTGTCTGGAATCTGATGAGAACTCTGAAATCTCTCTCGAGAAAAAGGCAGATTTTAAAAAGCTTCAAGAAGCTCTTATCTACAAGTTTGGACACCTTGCAGAATGAGCATACAATATTTAATTTAATTTGGGTACACTTTGAAGGTTCTCACAAACGATGGGAGAAAAAAAAAACCGATCTCAAGCACTGCGTTTCATAGCAACAGGAGGGGATAACAGGGAGTAACTTTTTAACCGGCAGAGTTTCAGTTCACAAGATGAAAATGTCCTGGAGATGGATGAGGGGGACAGTTACAGGATAAATAAACGCATTTAAAGCCCCTGTGGCCTCCACCCACACCCCAAAATTCACATTTTGAAGCCCTACCCTCCAGAACCTCAGATGTGACTGTATTTGTAGACCTTGTCTTTAAAGTGGTAGTAATTAGGCTAAATGAGGTCATTAGGGCCGGGCCTAGACAAATGTGACTTGTGTGCTTATAAGAAGAGAAGAGTAGGACACAGAAAGTAAAGAGCAAATGAAGACACCAGAGCAAAATAGCCATCTACAAGCCAAGCAGAGAAGCCTTAGAAGAAATAAATCCTGTAGACGTCTTCCAGCCTCCAGACTGTGAGGACATACATTTACGGTGTTTAAGTCAACAGTTCCCAACATTTTTGGCACGAGGGACCGGTTTCACGCAAGACAATTTTCCCACAAACCAGCAGAGCAGGGAGGAATGTGCAGCCAAACCTCACTGCTAATGGACATCAGTATTTACAGCCGCTCCCCAGAGCTAGCATCACTGCCTCAGAACAACCTCAGATCATCAGGCATTAGATTCTCTTAGGAAGTTGCACCCTCGATCCCTCGCACATGCAGTTCACAATAGGGTTCACGCTCCCATGAGACTCTATTGCCACTGATCTGACAGGAGGCAGAGACTGGGCAGTAATGTGAGTGATGAGGAGTGCCTGTGAACACAGAGGAAGCTTTGCTCCCTTGCCCACCACTCACCTCTTGCTGTGCAGCCCAGGTCCTAACAGGCCATGGACCTACAACTGATCCACAGCCCGGGGGCTGAGACACCTGGTTTAAGCCACCTGGTGTGTGGTACTTTGTATAGCAGCCTAGCAAACTAATACAGTGTATTTTAAACCTCAATTAAAAATAAACTAAAATACTCAATGACAAAAAAAGAAAAACTCAAACTGCTTTAAAGCATTTCACAACGTATGCTCTAAAAGTCTATCCATATTATATATAAAGAGCACATTAATAGTAACAACAAAAAATAGCCAAATTGGACATCATAAAATTTTAAAACCTTTGTGTTTCAAAGGACACAGTCAAGAAAGCAAAAAAACCAACTACAGAATGGGAGGAAAGTTTTACAAGTCATACATCTGAAAAGGAGCTTACATCAAGAATATATGAATATGACAACTCAATAAAACAATTGATAATTGTTCCTTCTTCATCAAGGACAGTCTTCAGTGGTTTATGATGGGCAGAACACGGTGACTACTTGTGTAGTTTGGTGCCACTGCCTTGATTCCTGTTAAAGCACCAGCGGTTTCAATAAATCTCTGCTGAAAAAATGAAGAGTAGCTCACTGATAGCAACTCTAAGGAAATAGGAACAATGTATAAGATGGAATACACTTTTACTCACAAAATGTCTCCCAGCCAATATAAAAGAAACTTCTTTAGGTATACAAAAATATTTGAAAGTTGGTTACTTGTTTTCAGTAACTTTTTAAAATGTCAAGTACTTGTTAAAAAAAAGTTCAAACATGTTTCTGTTTTCTATGTTACTTTTTGCTGAAACATTTGAAAACCTTATTTTTCTAAATTTTTATTTCAACAGTTTTGGAGGTACAGACAGTTTTTAGTTACATGGCTGCATTGCACAATGGTGAAGAAGCAGCATTTATCAATCAAGGATATGATTAAGAATTTTCTTTTTTTTTTTTTTTTTTGAGTTGGAGTCTCACTCAGTCCCCCAGACTGGAGTGCAGTGGCCACTCCCGGCACCGCAGCCTCGACCTGCTGGGCTCCGGTGATCCTTCTGCCTCAGCCTTCCGAGTAGCTGGAACTACAGACATGCGCTACCACGCCCAGCTGATTTTCTGATTTACTGTAGAGATGAGGTCTCGCTGCCCAGGCGGGTCTCGAACCCACGGGCTCAGGCAATTCACTCACCTCAGCCTCCCAAAGGCGCGGGATTACAGGCTGAGCCACCGAGCCCGGCTTAAGAATTTTCTTAAGAACTGTAGCATTTTTCCAAAGTTACGCAAAGTGTAACTCACAAATAATCTTGGGTATCACTATGAGATATTTACTTAGTCAATATTTCACAATTAATTAAAATGATTGCTCATTTTTATTTTCTTGAAAAGGTTTTTCCATTTTTTCTTGCTTCATATTGCTATCAAGAAGTGTGAGTTGTCTGTTTATGAACAGACACTTCTCAAAGTAAGGCATTCAAGCAGCCATTAAACATATAAAAAATGTTCAGCTTTGCTAATCATTAGAGAATTGCAAACCAAAACTACAATGAGATACCACCTTACACTGATCAGGATGGCTATCATTAAAAAGTCAAAGAACAACAGAAGCTGGCGAGGCAGTGGAGAAAAGGGAATGCTTCTACACTGTTGGTGGGAACGCAGGCTAGTTCAACCTCTGCAGAATGCAATGTGGCATTTTTTCAAAGAACTAAAAATTGAGCTACCATACGATCCAGCAATCCCTCTTCTGGGAATATACCCAGAGAAATATAAGTTGTTCTACCAGAAAGACACCTGCACATGTATGTTCATTGCAGTACTATTCCCAATGGTAAAAAACATGGAACCAATACAGATGCCCGTCAAAAGTGGACCGGATAAAGAAAATGTAATGCATATATACACAACGGAATACTACACGGCCATAAAGAACAAAGTTGTGGTCTTTGCAGCAACATGGATGCAGCTGGAGGCCATCATTCTAAGTGAACTATCACAGAAACAAAGAACCGAGCGACACATGCTCTCAGGAACGGGCCCTGAACATTGGGCATGTGGACCCAAAGGGGGAAACAGAAAATGTTAGGCACTGCTCACGGGGTGGGGATGAGGGAGGGGAGGGAGGGAGGGGGGAAGAGGGATACAGCAACCACCCACTGGGTACCAGGTCCACTGCCAGGGGAGAGAGGGCTGGCAAGAAGCGCACACCTCACCGGCATGCAATTTACTTATGCAGCAAATCTTCACATGCACCCCACAACCCTAAAGTAAAAATAAATTATTTTGTTTAAAAAGAAGCATGAGGCAATCTTTCCATATTTGCATTTATAATGCATTTAAATTTTAAAATTCCTTATTTTTTGGCTCAGAGGCTCAGATGGCCTTTTGTTCCTTTTAATTTAAAGTCTAATCCTAGGATGTATCTTAAGAGTGGTTGTTCTAGATCAATTCTCCCGGGTACACAGGAGATAGGAGTCTCCAAATATGGAAATTCAGATCTTATTTCATTTCATGAGAGTTTCTAAAATATTACACCTGTTACTCTTCCACTTGTTTCCTGGTTCAGTACATCATGTTCTCTCTGATTCTTTTCATCTCTCTTATTTCACTTGCATCTTCTTGGCTCTTTCATTTCTATTCTTTATGTCTTACTGAACTTTGGAATATCTACATTCCCTTAGCTACCTTGTAATTTGCTTTTCATTTCTGAGATGACTTTTATCTTTTTTCATCATTTTCTTTCCAGGATTCAGTCAGCTACTGCTTCACACATCTTCCTGTTGATTTTCCATTTCAATTGTGAGTTTTTGAATGCCTGACTCATGGGGTCCTTCTGCAATACGATTGCTTGTTCCACATCAGGTATTCAAGTTCAGGTGCTGCATTTCATTTTTCCTCTGTTTTGTGGTTTTTCTTTTATTTCTTATCTTTGTTTTTATGTTTGCTTCAATTATTTCTATGTGTGTGTATAATTTCCTAAGAAGGTTTGATTCTAATTTTCTGTTTCATACTTAGAGTAA